TGCGTGTTCTCTCACATCAGCAGGAGTGGGGGAACCCAACACCTTCAACCCCACCCCCTCCAGCTGGGCACCCATCCACCCCCTTCCTGGGAGCTGCCGCCAGCTTTTGAAGCTGGTGTCCTCCTCTCTAGAACACCGGCGCAGGCGCCGCACTCCTCCCACTGGCTGCGCAGACTCCTGCTTCCGCGCATGCGCTGTCCGCCGCCCACCAGCTGAGTCGCCTGGCACCACCGTTCCGGCACTCACCGAACAGCCCTGGCACATCTGCCTCACTGGCATGGCGCCAGCTTAGACAGAAGCCATAGTGCGGGGTGCGGGGTGCGGCGTCTTTCTGGGCTGTCCACTGCACCCCGTCACAGTGCACAACAAATGGACTGTGAATCCTGATGTTCTGTGACAACAATTAATAACCTGTGAAGCTTGGTTTTGTGGTGCCAAAGTTAAAAATATTAATAGAACCTAATGGGCCAGCAGACAGATAGGTACTAGAACTGCACAGGCAGGATATAGTATCACCTGGCAAGTTCAGGGAATGGATGATATCAGTTGTACATGTTCCAAAAACAGATGGGCATTACAGAATTTGTGAGGATTATAAAGGTCCACTAAACTTCTGGTTGGAGGAGCATCGGTATCAAATTCCAAAAGCAAAATTCTATGCTAACCTGGCAAGAGAGGTGACATGTATAAAGCTTCATTAATCCCAACCATAACAGCAGATTGCATAAGAAGATATTTTTCACTGACATGAATAGCTAGTACACTAGTGTTCAGAGAATATTGAATTAGGTGCTGCAGGGGTTATATGGGGTCATCTGGTGTTTGGAAAACACATTGATCATGGTGAAAGCTACTGAGGAAAATGTAAGAATCTGCAGAGTTTCTGAGAAGACTGTAAAAATGCGATTTTACAGGAAGAATAAGAAAGTGTTTTATTCCTGAATGGAAGCTATTTGGGGCATAGCAAGGATGCAGAAACATCACTTGAAAAATAATGAGCTATGGAGAATGTGGCTGTAACCCAAAATATTTTAGAGTTTGGTTCTTTTATAGCAGTGTTGAATGGTATTCCAAATGTATTAGCTTCAATAAGTCAATAGTTTAGTAAGTTAGGAAGAAAATGTGAGATGAGTTGAGCTCAAGACACAAAACTGAGAAGGAAACAAAACTGAAAAGCTTCAATGTGCTGGGGCATTATATTTCAGAACTTCCTTTTCTCTTAGCATGAAGTGTCTCTCCCATGGGCTAGCCTTAGGAAATATACAGATCTATTTATTGCCCACAAATACACAGAGGTGGGGGAAATTAACATAACATTTGTTTCCAGAACATATAAAAAGCTAAGGAATTGCTCTCGTTATAAAAGAAGTTTGAGCACCTATTGTGGGGATAATTACATTTCATGAGTTCTTGTCAGAGAAAATAGTCCCCTCAAGACTGTAGTAAACATACTGACCTCTGATTCTTGGATCTGGCCAAGTTGTGCTCAGTACACAGCCAGAAGCCAGGCCAATGGTGGCTTTATAATATCACAGCAGTCCACCAATTCTGGGGCAATTCAACCCCCAGGGTAATTTAGAGAATCCTAATTATTCTGGCAGGTCATCGCCCTGAAGGTGACAGGTTACACCAGCCTGGGATTACTGTAGCATGACATGCTCTTGGCCACATGTCTTTATGCCCTCCACACCAAGGAGGACAGAATACAGACTTCTAAGTCCAAAGACACTTGGTATCACACTTCTAATAGCAGCCAGGATAGAAAGAAGGACTCTGTTTCTGACTGAGTATCAGTAAAAAATCCAGGAAGAAGCCTCATTTTAAGAAAGTTTACCTTTTTCTGAAAAGTAAGCTAATACCAATTCCAGCAGCATTCCTACTACACGGGATATGGAATGCACTTGATCAAATCAGTAATATCTCAGTGACTCGCATAAGAGTTTTTTTAAATGCGTCTACTTCAGTAAAACATGCTAATGCTGACAAGTTCTCATGATTGCTACTGAAAGTAGAGTCACATCCACAAGTGAAATCAGTGTGCACAGCTTCTCTTGCCTAGATGATTTTCCTATTACATCCAGAGAACTCTATAGTGATGGATACTACACAAGAAATGTTTTAATTAAAAGTAATCCAATATATCATTTTTCTAAATGGCCAAGTCAGAAGGGAGATAAAGACTTTATCCCTATTTCCGTAGAAAAAAAGTAATTATCAGTACAACAGAATCGTTTACAGTGGAATAATACCAAACAGTTTACAAGCAAGGATGCTGGTTGAATTATTTCAACATCACAAAGATGGCAGATAAAGAAACATTCATTCAGAAGTTTTTTCTTTGGTCAGGTATACCCTTCACAAGAAATTCAATTTAAGATACACAACTTTAGCTATGAGAATGATGTATCTGGATTCAACTCCCCTGTTAACTTCTCTTACTCCTCGCGACCCCACGGAGTACTGGGGTTGACGAGGGCGCCATCAGCATTCAATTTAGTGGGTCCTTTCTAGACCCACTAAATCGAACCTTGGAAGATCCATCTCCTTAGCATTGATCTACATGTAAGTATAGACAAGACCTACAGTGGCTAGACTCACATGAGGATATGGAAAGGACAATGTCTTATTATAGAGAAGCGACTGAAACTGCTTCAAGTCATCTGCTGCTATGGGCCACTTTGCTTTGATCAAAGCACTGAATTTGCAGAGAATAAATCGATGTGTTTAGTTATGGTGCTTCTGGCAGGTGGCCAGAAGTAAAGAACTACACATAAGAAACCATCAAAGTATGTGGGAATGTTTTAGCTACATGTGGGTTTCCTGGATTCTTTCTGATAACAGCCCTCTATTGGATTTTGAGAAATGTCAAGTATTCTTCAGTATTAATGGAGTATAGCACACTAGATCTGCTGCTTTTTATTCAACAACAAATAGGTTAATACTGGGCTACTCAACTTTGGAAGCCCCAGGGGCCACAATGATACTCACAGCATATGCCGAGGGCCGCAACTTAAGTGTGGTTACATCTACATGCAAATATATATGCAAATAGCTTTTTTCACACTGACTGGCATGAATACAAAGATTAAGGCAAAACTACACAATACACAGGCCCCATTTAAGTCAGTTCTGCTGATATTAATAAAATGCAATAGTTACCCGATTTCCACCTATATGACAGCACTTTTAATGAGCAATGATGATCTAGGAATTTAACTACTAAAATGCATATCAACAGAAGACCATTATATTGACTACTTTTTTGTTTTGGCTTCCACCCTTGGGCCGCAAACAAACTAACTACAGGCCACATGTGGCCCATGGGCCGTGTGTTGAGTAGCCTTGCTTTAGCAGAACCCCTTGTTCAGACACTTAAAGGGCATTAAATAATAAAAGTTTGCAACAACTGCAATGCAAACTTTCTGTTACCAAAAAGATTTCCCCTACCCTCTACCACACAGAAATCTGAAGAGGAGTTTGTTCTAAAGTGTTCCTAACAAACTAGATTTTATTGAGCAAAGATTTAACAAAAGGACTGAATGAAAAACGCAATGTAAAGAACCCACAAGCTATGAGTTCTCGGATTATAAACTTAGAGTGGAGAGTACTGGCAAAGGGGAAGGAGGGCTGGAACTGAGGGAAATGGTGCTGAAGGAATGAGGAAGAATGACTTATCTGGTAGAGGCTAGGACAATATAGAAATACATTGAGCAAACTATTATAAGAGTTTCAGAAAAGGAAAGGTATTGAAACAAGCTGATAACAGTGAGCCAGAAAGTAAATGATTATCCTTCTTATTGGCCTGAAGAAGTTTTAGATGATAGCGTTACTATAGAAATAAACTGAAGGATGTAGCTAGAGAACTGGAGAAAAAGCAAGTGCTAAATTTCCTTTCTGGAGGGTACGTATGATCACAACATAAAGACAAGCTTCTCATAAGATTAAATAATAACAAAAAAATGTTTATTTGCTTTTTTTAATTACGGAGGAAGAATTTGAAGTGTGAAAGGCAGTGCCATTCTGTTTTCTGCATGCTGTAGCTTTAAATGAAGAGGTGTCCTTTTCTTTTTGCAGTGGTGAATGTCATTTTGTGTTTCAATTCAGAAGTGCAATATTTCAAGATGAGCACCTGTCTCTCTTTCATGGAGATATTATATCAGTTCTTTGTTGGTTTGATGTTTTCTCTAATCCAGACCAAAAGTCATTTAGACAGTAAAATCCAGGCTCTGCTTTTGGGATGTAATCTATTCCAGTGTGGTGGGTTAGCACAAGATTTTATGGAACACTTAAATCCCGTTAAGGAATGCATAGAGCTCATACAAGTTCTCTAGAAATAATTTCACCCTTTATGAAAGGGGAAAACATAGTATTTCCACAAAAGTAAGTCACCAGCAATTCTGCTGAGGGACAGTAAATTTCTCTGACTCTTATTAAGTCTATGAAAATACGAATAATAGATTTATCTCTCTGAAAGTATTTTCAGTGGCAAAAGTGGTACTTAATCTGTTAGGATTTAAATAATTTCACAGAGGCCCCAGTTCTGCAAGGCCATCAGTACAGCTGTGTGGGAAATGATTTGCCTTTCCCATGAACAATTTTGAGATTTCTAGAAAATGTCCTGCCCAAATTAATATATATAGATATAGATATAGTTTTGGGTCAATCAAAACATTTCATTTTCTGTTTTGATCAAAAAAAATATAATTAACTTAAATTTCAAAACCGAAAGTCATTCTGATGTAGAAAACTATAATTATAAAAAGTAGAAAAATTTGTTAAACATGACCCTTTCCCACAATAGTTTCCATTTTGAGGAATCAGCACTTTCCATTTAAAAAAACATATTACCAATAACATTTCTGATCACCTCTAGAGCAGAGAGCACCCTCGACTCCTAATGAAACCAAAAGGATTAAGAAAGCCCCAAGCAGAATCAAGCATAAAACTTGGAAGTAGGAGTGGGAGGGATTTTCATGGCACTTCCTGGATTTTAGCTTGAATTGTATTATTCACAAGTTTTAGTCAGACACCAGTAACCTCACATTGAAAATAGCTGCCAAACTTCATTCTTGGAGGAGTTTACAGCCAGGAGAGAAAAAACTCAGGAGTCTGATGTCATGAACAGTGGGATGAGCTTATTCTTTCTATAGCTGAGCAGAAAAACAGAAGTTGAAATCATTCATACAACAGTCAGAGCCTGCCTGTCCACATGGTGAGAAATCTCTCTCTTTACCAACATTAACCTCCTCTAAGGAATATTCAGAGTGAAGGTATGTGTTTCTTCTTCTCTTATAGTGACTGAAAAACTCTCATTTATTCTAATTCCTCACCATTTTTCATTTCTTCCTCAAAAAGCTGTTTTTTCTTTATATTTTTGTTTCAATTGCAAAAGAGATCATGCTACTAGCGAGGATTATGATTAATTACCATTATTTTTGTTTTGTTGTTAGACTCTATCTTTCAAAAGTAGTTTTTGATGATGAATGGGATTTTCAGCCCAGAATACCACCCCTTGAAAGTAGTTAAGGTGCTAATGACCCAGTGGAATTTCAGTTGCAGATGACCACACTGCAGGTCAGAAGGCAGAACACTGGTTGTGACAGAAGATCATATATAGTGTCTCACAAAAGTGCAAAAGACTTCATAATACAAACTTTCTAGAATGTTTTCTGAGAGAGATTGACTAACCAACCACAGAGAAAACACACTAAGTAAACTCTCTCCTTTGTCTCCCTGCAGGGAGATTTTCGTTTGTGCTTGTTATTTGGATTGTACATTTTTGTGGGGCAGGGACTCTTTTTGTGTGTATCATGCACAGCTGAGCTTTATTATCTGTGGTTCCTTAAATATGAAAATCTAAAAGTGTGCATTGTACAGCAAAGCTGACAGAGTTCAGGTTTATTGTTCTCAAACTTCTTGTTAAAAATTACACCTTGATTTATTTCTAATAAAGGAAAAACTTTAAAGTGTTAAAAAACTTGACTTGTAAGCTGATGATAATGAAAGAAGCTTAAAGTTGGAGTTATTTCTAGGAACATATGGCAGACGGAACAGGTAATAATGTCACAATATACACTAGAAATGTTAAATCACTCCTGTTATAGCTGACAGTGACTTTTGTAGTAGTCCTGGCTTTATAATAGTAGTTATATATCAGCTGAATACCAGAACAGGGGAATTCAAAGAGATTGTCACTAGGATCCTCAAGTTTGAATTTATTTTTATTACATTGTTGCATATATATTATTTTAAACAATTACATATTTTAAGGCTAAAATGCATCTGTTAGGCAAATTTCTGTTTACACTCCATAGTTCCCAAAAGTCATATATTCCAGCATGCCATTTTGAAAGTAGTGAAATAACAAGTTATATCAATAATATGAGTTTTGTAGTTGTTGTCATCTGCTCCCTGTGGAAATTTGCAGATGAAAGAGAGAAAGACCTTTTGAGAGGGAAGGTTAAAAGGCTTGTTAAAATGGGAAAGAGGCAGCCATTACAAGAGGAACAGCAAGGGCCCTGGCTAATTAGGGGCAGCTGAGACAGAGTGGCTACAAATTAATTAAGGGCCAGGTGAGCTGAATCAGGCTGCTACAGGGCTTCTTTAAAAGCCTTGGGGGGGGGGATTGAGGAGTGCAGAGAGGAACAACCAACCAGGTGATGATACAGAGGAGTAGAATCTCCCTCTGCTAAAGGTGCATAGGGAGGTGAGGGGCTTGGGCAGGGGGTGTTGAAAGGCTCTGTATCCACAAGGGGCTAGAGGAGGAGGACTTACTACTCAGCCCTGACTGGCCCAGGACTCAAGCCCAACACTATTGTTTATGCTGAGGGACAGAAGGTCAAGTGCTAAAACTAAGAGACTGTGTCTAGACTGGCAAGTTTTTCTGCAAAATCAGCTGCTTTTCTGGGAAAAACTTGCCAGCTGTCTACACTGGCTGCTTGAATTTCCACAAGATCACTGACTTCCTACTGTAAGAAATCAGTGCTTCTTGCGGAAATACTATGCTGCTCCTGTTCAGGCAAAAGTCCCTTTTGTGCAAAGCTTTTGTGCAAAGCAAAAGGGCCAGTGTAGACAGCTCAGATTTGTTTTGCGTAAAAAAGCCCCGATTGTGAAAATGGCGATCGGGGTTTTTTTGCACAAAAGCGTGTTGAGATTGGCACGGATGCTTTTCTTCAAAACGTGCTTTTGCGGAAAAGTGTCCGTGCCAATCTAGATGCTCTTTTCCACAAATACTTTTAATGAAAAACTTTTCTGTTAAAAGCATTTGTGGAAAATCATGCCAGTCTAGATGTGGCCAGAGTGAGTTTCATGCTGTGGCCCTAAAACTTGGGATAGTGGACAGAACAGAGGTCAGGGACCCAGGAGGGGGACTCACCTACCACAACCTTTATATGAGAATTTCTTCCTAGCTGTATTGCAGCAAGTCTTAGGAGTCCCAGTCATGGACCCAGACCCTATTGCATTAGGTGCTATTAAAACACAGATCTGGCAAGGGGTTCCACAGATTGGCTATTTGCTGTGTGAAGAAAAATTTCCTTTTGTTTGTTTTAAACCTGCTACCTATTTCATCTGGTGATCCCTAGTTCTTATGCTATGGGAACAAGTAAATACGTTTCCCTTTCGCATTTTCTCCATACCTGTCATGATTTTATAGACCTCTATTGTATCCCCTCTTAGTCTCCTCTTTTCTAAGATAAAAGTCCAGGTCTTTTTAATCTCGCTAATATGCTGAGTGATTTTCTTTATGTACCAACTAACTTCAGCTTTGTGTAAATTTTATTTCTTCTCCATATTCTGACTCCTCATCTGGGTTCTAAGGTGTTTTTTCTTTAAAATACCCTTGATCTGATTGTTCAAGCTTACGGACCCTCTGACGCTTCCTACTTTGTGCGATGTTCAGCTTTCACACCTATGTAAACCAATTAATCTCATGGGCTGTGTCTAGACTGGCCTGTTTTTCTGGAAAATCAGCTGCTTTTCCGGGAAAAACTTGCCAGCTGTCTACACTGGCCGCTTGAATTTCTGCAAAAGCACTGACTTCCTACTGTAAGAAATCAGTGCTTCTTGCGGAAATACTATTCTGCTCTCGTTCAGGCAAAAGTCCCTTTTGCGCAAAAGGGCCAGTGTAGACAGCTCAGATTTGTTTTCCGCAAAAAAGCCCCGATCAGGGAAAATGGCGGTCGGGGCTTTTTTGCGGAAAAGCGTGTCTAGATTGGCACGGACGCTTTTCCGCAAAAAGTGCTTTTGCGGAAAAGCATCTGTGCCAATCTAGACGCTCTTTTTCGAAAATGCTTTTAACGGAAAACTTTTCCATTAAAAGCATTTCCGGAAAATCATGCCAGTCTAGACGTAGCCATGGTGTGGCATGGCTGCAATTGAGAACAGAATGTGGCCCTGGGCTAACTTCAGATAATGGGGCTGTCAACATGCAGCCATGAGTTTCTTCTGAGAGGTACATCCAAGATCTATAGGTAGCCTGAACAAAAGAAAGTGTCACAACTATCAAATCCCTTCTACTTTAATGGGGCTTGTACGTGGAAAACTGAAGGACTAGTTGAAGCAAAATGCAGGACAATGTAGCACTTTAAAGATAACTGAAGGACTAGTGGCTCTTTCTCAGGCACTTTTCCTGCACTGGCAGAGTGAAGAGTGCTATAAGGAGGAAGAGTGATGTTTCCATCTCTCTGCACCTTTGTGGCTTGCCTGCCTGCTTTGTTCTGTCCCTCTTTTGCCCTTATTCTGTGTAATTTCCCATCAGCAAACACTTGATTGTTCCCAAGTAAAGCCATGTCCGGGGGCCAAACTGTATCAAGGCTATCCTTACCCATATGCAGTTGCATAGGGCATCTGAAAACTAGAGGCACCACTGGGTTTTAATGTCCATTGACTGGTCTCTTTCTATTCCTGTTCTATTTCTCTTCTGGAGTTAACTTACAAGTTTAAAAAGTCTGAGAGTGCTATTAGCAGAACATTGAACCTATGCAAGGGCCATTCAGGTGGTAACAAAGCCATTTAACAGGCATTTTCCAGCTCCAAGGCTGTGTCTACGCTGGTGCGTTCTTGCGTGAAACTGGCCACTCTTGCACAAAAATATGCCACCTGTCTACACTGGCCGTGCATTATTGTGCAAGTAAACTGACGTTGTACTGTAGAAAATCAGGGCTTCTTGCATGAGAACTCTGACGCTCCCTCTCAGGAATAAGCCCTCTTGCACAAGAACTCTTCCAGAAGAGGCCAGTGTAGACAGGCAACATTAATTTATTGCGCAAGAAGCCCCAATGGTTAAAATGGCCATCAGAGCTTTCTTGCAGAAGAGAGCATCTACACTGCCATAGATGCTCTTGCGCAAAAGCACATGGCAGTGTAGACGCTCTCTTGTGGAATAGTTTTTGCATAAGAACTCTTCCACAAAAGAGTTCTTGTGCTAGAAGCCGCCAGTGTAGATGTATCCCAAGTATATACTGTTAGTTTCTGAATGTACTGTATTAGTCTACAGAGCCTTAATTAAAATTTTGCTTTAAAAATATTTCATTACTGGGTTGCTGAAGATTATAAAAACACATTTCTAAAAAACTGCCCCTCGTTGGCTGCCACTGGGCTTAATTTAATAGTACTGCATAGAGCCCTATAAATCCTAAGGATGGCCCTGCACTGTATGAAAGCAGAAGGAACAGACTCCCCTCAGGGAATGGTTTGAGCCTGGAAAAGCAGGTATGCTGAGAAGGGATAACACTCCACCTCATCCCAACTTGCTCTCCTCCACTAATGGTAATGGCTAATGATAAACTGTCTTGTGATAATGACTAAGCTAGAGGCCTGTTTAGTGCATCATTAGCTGTCAATCCCTATGAAACAAAACAACTGTGAAGCCTTCAAAATGTCCACTTGGGGCCTGATCCAAATGCCATTGAAGTGAAAAGACAGAAAGATTCCTGTTGAATTCAGTGGGCTTCGGATCAACTGATACAGTTGCTACCAGGGGACAAAAAATCATCTGGTGTAAAATTAGCGTAATTCCATTCACTTTAGCTGAGCTGTGACACTTACAAGCTGAAAATTTGGTCTCAGGGATCTGTTTACTAGAAATAAATGGTTAATGAAAAGCCCCTGTTTACTTCCAGTTTGTCAAACACCATCCCCAAATGGCAGGAGAATGGAATTTCCAAAACCAGAGCTCAGCTAAGCCATTAAAACTTATATAGTTGTTTCAGCACCATAAAGACTGTTGTGACTGTATTCCTGGCCTGGCCAGGTAGGATCAGAAATCCAT